TAATCGTTAACTACACATTGCCCATAATGAAGCGATGCCGAGCATGAACCCTCGGTGTTAGCCCATCGCGTTCACAAATTGGGGGCTCTGCCGGGAATTACCATTGTTAATCTGCACGAAGCGGAGAGAACAAGGTGTTAAAAGTTTGACGAGTTCAAAATGGGATTATTATCTTGAGAACTGCGTCGTAAGAAGTTGTACAACAATTTATCCCGATATTGAAAAGTATAAAAAGCTTACCCCTCCGTCCCGGCAAAGCATAAACTTGCACTTTTACTTAACAAGAAATGGATAGAAAAAATATTATCGAACAAAAAACCCCTGCAGAAATAAGAACTTACCATCTCCATCATGATATCATACACCAATTAATTCCCAGCCTACATAACCAAATTTGGATTGAACCGTACGCTAGAGACGACAGTTGTCAAATCTGCGCTGGTCAACCAACAAACAATTTGGATGAAGGGGCACATTATAAAGTTCTCAAAGCCTTAGAGGACCATGGGATATTAATACCATCGTATCGAACATATGCTAAATTCAGTAAAGCTAGTCTTCCTGCAACAGGAGGACGAAGAACTGAGCTTATCCGAAAAATGCTTTACGATTGCCGATATACTAAATACCCCACTAGTTGGGATAATTTAGTAAAATATATCAGCCAATTGTTAAACGGACAGATTTGCGCTCCACCTACGGATGCTTATCTTCCTGATTTGGAGGACAAAGAAAAACAAGCAATATTCAAGAGTACCATTGACTTATTGCAAATCTCGTATAATAGCGATTTACCGCATGAATATCAAGCGATAGAGGAAAGCGATGAAGATGAAGCCTATGAACAAGAGTATGTTGAAAGTATCGAAGCTGAAAATGAAACGACTGAATTAGTCGAATCACAGCCGAGAAAAATCGACGCACAAATCTCTAGGGAAATAGACGAATTTCGTTCAATTCCCGTTTCGGCTACTCCAAAAATCGTACCTCAAGAAACATCTAATAATAATATTGTTTCGACCGCATTACATGCATGGCAAAATTTCGATGGTACAAAAACACCTTCTCCTGAAGAAATTGCTCAAACAGTAAGGACGATGGCTGGACAGAACAAGCAAAGAGTAGACTTGGTTAATCCAATGTTTACGCTAGCAAATACGGACTATGAAGGAGATAATTCTCTGACATACGTAATAAATGCTCCTACTATACGGATAGAGGAAAATGATACCGTAAGCTTTTCTGTTCTGAGTACGCCTACTCCAAAAACTGATGCATCCAAAAGAATACCAATACCTACTCTAGCATTGGATTCGTCTCCTCATGATTCGAATACATCCGATCCTATGAGTGTGTTTAATGATAATGTCCAGGACCAACCATTAATTCAGCAAGAAAATACGGAAGAATCTGTAAAAGAATTGGAATTGCAACAACGGGTACAAGGCGGGCAAAACGTTATAAATAAGCCCTATCCCCCAACAACTGAATATTATTCAAGCTCGGGTGAAAAGGAATATATTCCAAATATTTACTCAAGCAATCCGCAAGAAACCTTTACTCAAACAATCGACGCCTACCCATTAACTACTGTTGTAGTATACCCCGAACCAATTCCAAACCCTCCTGTCCAAAGCTCTTCTATTCAAACTTTTCTGAAAAGCTCCACAATGGGTGAAGATACTCAACACATTATGAACGCCATGAAACAGCTAACTGAAAGCTTGACAAAAGGGTTGAAAGACCTAAAAATTGAAGCACCAACGATCTCGTTGGAACAAACAGTTAAGCCGTATGATATGGAGTTCATCGAAGGAGTAACGAACCCTCGGAAATTTGTCCAGGATTTAGAAAGAAAGTTTGATGCTAACGGAGTAACGGATGACACTCGAAAACTGAGGATTTTTAGATCTTTAATTCCGCCTCAAGTGTTAGAATGGCTTAATACCAAAATAACAAACAAAAGTATTCGATTTTGGAATGATACGAATTATCTCAATTATTCCTTGAAACCGCAATTCATTAAGAAATACGTAACTCCAAAATTAAAGAGACAATTGTATGATCAATACAATAAATTCTTTATGGAAAGAAATGAATCGGTTGCTGAACACTATAGGAGGCTAAAAGATTTATGGTCCGATTTAAATAATACGCCGACAGATGAAGGTGGAAAAATGGATAAATTTATCCAAGGCTTACCCGATAGTACGAAAGGAGCTATCTATCAACAGGGAGAGCCTCAAACCCTTCAAGATGCGTATACAAGAGCCCAAAACGCTGAATTGGCAAGAATGTATGACTCCAGAGATGATGGTAAAGAAACAAAACGAGCTATGGTAGCAATGACCGAACAGCTCAAAGAATTACAACAAACAATTACCTCTGTCGGTAATACTCAAGTCCTAATGACTGGGAGAGCTCCAGTTGATAACCAAGGACGTCCCAGAAGAAACTTCAATGCAGGAAGAAAAAGTTTCAATAATAGAAACTTTAACAATCAAAGAAATTTTAATAATCAAAGAAATTTCGATAATCAAAGAAACCCGCCAAGGATGAATTGTCATCGATGCGGAAGAAACGGCCACCTTGCTAAAGATTGCAGAATAGGCAAATGTTATAATTGTGGTGAGGAAGGGCATTTTGCCAAGAATTGCCCAACCAAACTGACTCCAAAAAACTGCTAAGCTCTTCCTGTAGAGGGGTGGGAGAGCAAGGTAGTGAACCTCTACTATTCAAGATTCAGGGACGTGACGCTATGCGAAGCGGACCCTTAGAACTGATGGCAGAGGTAGGAGGTGTGGTGCGAAATGTGGTTATTGATACAGGCGCTGAAGTCAACGTGATTGCACAAGACTTTGTATGGCAAAACGCCTGGAAAGAAAAAGTAAAAGTGCATAAAGAAAAAATCCTAGGTATCTCAAATACGCCCATAGTAACAGACGGAAAATTGGAATTGGATGTTAGTATACAAGGAGCGACCGTTACGGTTACGTTTCTTGTAATTCCTATAACCAATGTCTTTGCTATATTGGGAATTGACTTTGCTCAAAAACACGAAGTTAGGCTCGAATTTAAGCCTAAAAATCCGAGAATGATATGGCGTCCTAATGGACAAGGAAAACTACGGGAAGTTCCATTAACTATAAATACCCAAGCTCCCCAACTCTCCATTAGAAGACAAATCGATTTTATTATCATAAACCCTATTCGGAATGCCTCAAATCAACAAGAAAAACAAGCGGACCGAAAAACCGCTAGAATTATCAAGAAATTCTCCGAAAGTTATGACAAAAACTCCGAAAAAACTTCAAGTCCAAGGAGAAGCTCAGATGAGCTATCCGAAACGAAAATATCCATGGCATGAAAAATGGCATTATCCTGATTGTGCTAATCCCGTCGGCGAAGATAACGATTGTCCTCATTGCATGGTATTCAGAATTCTTGATCAAAGAGTTATTGATGCCAAAGAGCAAGAACGTATGGAAAAATGGGATAAACACGCTAACGGATGGCAACAATATCAGTGTAAAAATGCTACGATTGATAAAGTATATGATAAATATTATAATCCCAAATCTGAGATTATTAATAGAAGCATGTACAGAAAAGCCGTTCTAAAATTTAATAGAACATTAAAAGCCTGGATAAAAGAAGTTGATGATTATTGGACTCAAGTCAATAACCATAACGATTTAATGGACATTGACCAGGAAAAAACTATAAAAGAAGCCGACCTGAATGACCTCTCCATACAAACTGATCAAAAAGAAATTCTCCAAGACATGGATATTGATCAAAATAATTCTATAATTATCCAAATTGAAGGAGTTGCTATAACTCTATCATGGGATGATAAAGGAATTACCTTTGATAATAACAGACATGAATGGCCAGAAGTTAAACGATGGCAGGTTAAAATTGGGAGAAGAAATACAAGTCCTATAAGATTCCGTCACTGGAAAGGACCTTTCGCTACTTGTTGGTGCATCTTGAATGAAAGTTCTCGACATAAAATTCTTGATGATAACCAGGAATGTAGTGAATGCGAATACTGGATAACAGTAATTCATTCTCTCTCTAAATTACCTGACAACGTACGAAAGCCATTAAATGAAAGTAAAAAATTATATCCATGGTATAAACCTCTCGAAAAAACTGAAAGACTAAGAGCATGGCAATGCCCTAATCTAACAGAAAAATTCGAAGTCCAAACACTTTCCAAAAGCGCGATAATTCCTTATAAAGCTTATGCAAAAGATGCAGCATGGGATATCTATGCAGCTGAAGATTGCAAGCCTAATGAATATGGTGTAGTGGTAGTCCCTACTCATATAAAAATTAGATATGCTAAAGGACACTATGGTCAATTAAAGACTAAGTCGTCTCAAGCATTAAAAGGAATATCCGTTTTAGGTGGAATATTGGATGAGGGTTATGAAGGAGAAATTAAAGTAATTTTACAAAAACCTGGCGATGATAAATTTGAAGTCAAAAAAGGAGAAAAAGTAGCTCAAATAATAATTTATGAGCAAGTTGATAAACCAACAGAAGAGGCTTCACACGAAAAAAGAGGAATTAAAGGATTTGGTTCATCTGGCAAATGGGCTAAAAACCTTAAAACCTCAGACAAACATGAAGAGCGCCTAAAGAAAACCTTTAATATTGTCAAATCCCAAGGCAAAGAAATTAATGACGAGCAAAAGGCACAACTGTCCAAATTGTTAGCCAAATATGCTTCTACATTCGTGGAAAATTCCAATGACATACATACAACTGTCGAAGGATTCCATCATTATATTAAGCTAACGGATGATACTCCTATCTGTGAAGCTAATAGACATATGTCTCCGATTAAGAAAGCTTTTCTTAAAGAGGAGCTAGAAAAAATGAAAGAAAAAGGTGTAATATCTGAATGTCCTCACAGTATACCCTGGGGATTTCAGGTAGTAATAGTAAAAAAGAAGGATGGTACATTAAGGTTATGCGTCGACTACAGAAAACTTAATCAAGTTACTGTGAAAGACAAATATCCTTTACCAAAAATACAGGAACTAATAGATAGGGCAGGAAAAGCGAAATACTTTACCTCACTTGATCTAGCTAGTGGATACTGGCAAGTTCCGATGTATGAAGCTCATAAGCAATATACTACCTTCGTATGTCCTTATGGACAATTTTACTTTAATGTTATGCCGTTCGGTTTAACAAACGCCCCAGCTACCTTTCAAAGAATGATGGATCGAATTCTGAATGAATTACGAGAAGACTTCTGTGAAGTATATCTTGATGATATTCTCATTTATTCAGAAACCTTCGAACAACATTTAATACACATCGAAAAAATAATCCAACGCTTGAATAAGTACGGATTGAAATTAAAACACAAGAAATGTCATTTCGCTCAATTGGAAACCGAATATTTAGGATTCATTCTGAGCGACGGAGGTTATAAAACATCTCCGCGAATTATCGAAGCAATCCAGAAATTTCCCGAACCAAAATTAAACCAACCAGTTCCGTTACAAACGCTACAAATCTATCTAGGGTTATGTAATTTTTATCGAAAATTCATAAAAAATTACAACGAAATATACGACCCTATGAACGAATTACTTCCGCAACAAATTAAGGTCGTAAAACCTTATGTTGGGGAAAATAAAAGGAAAAAATGGGAAATTACGTTCAAAAATAATCCAAGAATATGGACAGAACGCCAAAGCGTAGCATTTAACAAAATGAAAGAAGCGTTCCAAAAAACCCTGGAAGAGGGCGGAACACGACTAGCATATCCAATACCAGGCCGAAGTTTCATAATAAGGACGGATGCTTCAAAAATAGGATTAGGCGCGGCCTTACTCCAATATACAGAAGAAGGAATCGAATTACCAATAATGTACGCTCACCGAGTACTGAATAGTGCAGAGAAAAATTATGGTGCAACTGATCTAGAAGGATTAGTCGTAAAAGAAGCTATCAAAGAATGGTTTCGACCCTACGTGTGGGGACAACATTTCAAAATCTATACCGACCATCAACCACTTCTAAGCGCATTTCGAAATCGAGATATTGATGGTAGACTTGGTGGTTGGATAAACGAACTATCCGAGTTTACTTTCACATTGGTACATCAGCCCGGCAAGAAAAATTATCTTGCGGATGTGTTATCTCGCATCCCCCCACAAAACGCACACGACGACGAAGAATACGTACACATAATGCTACTACAATTCAAAATTAGTGATACTGAGTTTCAAATGAAAGGTACTGTACTGCGTAATTGATAACTATCGATCTACCCAAGGCCTTAAGTGGCGTAGCTCATGAGTATTTTTATTAATACTGTATTGCGTAGCGATAATTATTAAATTACCCAAGGCCTTCAGTGGCGTAGCTCATGAGTACTTCTTTGAAATATGGAAGGGCAACAGCAACCCTCAAACAAACTAATTGTAAATATGTAAATAATTCCTATTTACATATGAGGTAGCAGTATTATTGTTGTCGTAAGTCAATAACTTGCAGTATGTTATCAACAGAATTCTGCGGTTAAGTACTTCAAATTAGTGGGTTAGATAACATGAGTATTGCGCCCCGTATGGCGATAAAAATATAAATACTCCCTATCCGCAATTAATTATCAAAAATAATTCAAAATGAACGACGAAGAATATAATCAAGTCCTTGATTATTTAACAAAACCCGATCAACGACATGTACCAAGAGAAATACGAAACAAATCCGAACATTTCGAAGTATTCGATAATCGACTATACCGAAAAAATTTCGATCAACTATTATTAGTTGTAAAGAAAAATGAAGTAGACGATCTTCTACTTTATGCGCATGATCATCCTCTAGGAGGACATTTTGGTCGCGATAAAACGATGTGGAACATCACCCAATACTACTGGTGGCCTAAAATGGGAAAGTACGTGGAACATTACGTACAAACCTGTGAACAATGCCAACGATTACGGGCACCTACCAGATCGGAACCACTACAATCAATCACTCCCATTGGCACTATGAGAAAGTGGGGAGTTGATACGGTTGGACCGTTACCTCGTACACAAAATGGAAACGAATATTTAGTCGTGGCAGTTGATTATTTAACTAAATGGCCTGAAGCCAGAGCGCTCCCAAATAAACAAGCTGATACAGTAGCTTCGTTTATAGTGGACGACATAATATGCCGACATGGTGTTCCAAAAGAATTGACTACCGATCAAGGTACTGAATATAAAAATCAATTATTGCGATATATCGCAAAACGAACATCCATGAAACATATTATGACTCAGGCTTATCATCCACAAGCAAACGGACAAGTAGAACGTATGAATCAAACTTTGATTAATATGATTCGAAAGGTGTCGAAAGACAAACCTAACGTTTGGGATGAACACTTAGCTACGATATTATTTGCCTATCGTACGACTATACATTCAACGACTAAGTTTACGCCGTTTCATTTGTTACACGGGTACGAAGCGGTTACACCATTAAATCGAAAATTAGCACCAATTGGTAATAACGAAAAAGAACTACAAAAGCGACAAGGCCAGCTTATCGAAATCCTAAGCAAAAGAGTACAAGCCAGAGAGAATATACGAAATCGTCAAGTCGTACAAAAGAAAAATTACGACAGAAAATTACAAGAGCCAACTTATAATCCTGGTGAATTAGTTTGGCTTGACAAGAAAACGTTCAATGAATTACCCAAGCAAAAAACTGGCTTAAGATTGACTGGACCGTTTAAAGTCATTATGAGAAAAAGTAACGGTACCTATCATCTTGAAGACTCTAAAGGCAAATTGCTCAAGAAAGCTTATTCGGGCGATAAGCTTAGACGATATCAAGTACGACAAAAATATGGAGAGCCATTAGTCGTAATTGAACAAATCGAAGGCATCCATCAAGGAAACGAATTTCCTCGGCTAGTAGATGCGAGCGAAAAGGATAATTAATTGTACTGTTATCCATCAGTAAATTGGTTACCTCGGAACTTGATCAAAGGATTTAACGCTATGCGAATAATACCTGAGATCGCTCAGAATTACTCAAAAGATTTGTTACTGTGTAACGAATACTGGAGAACTAATTCGGCGCATTTATGAAACTTAGAAAATTTGGTTCGAAATAATATACGATATACTACTAAACTTAGAAATTGCCATTGTGCATTTTTCAAGTAAAAGTTTGGGATGTATAACACACTTAGTATTGCCTTTCTTATTACGCGATGCGCGGTAGGATAAACCGTTAGGTGTTGCACCGCGGAACCCTTAGGCAAGGCTTAAGTTTAATTGTGAAAATGCGTGATTTTTAAACAAAGGTTTTATACAAGGAAAAGTGTACTCTTATCGCAAATAATATTGGATTAACTCCGATTCCTGTCAACGGCCAGGACCAATCAATCGATTGTGAAAGAGTATAAACTAAGAAAATTTTTATGCCGTAAAAATAATAGAAAGCAAAAAATCCAAAAAATTCCTGAGTCCCTAGTCTCTCGACCTCGGTCATGTGATTAGACGGATAGTGAGGGCGAGAGCAACCCACACATTAATTTTTGGCAATAATGCGACACCTCTAATATTTTTAAAATCATTGTCTTTTTGACAAAGATTTTGAGAGGGGAAGGTTAAAGGGGGGTACACAATTCAAAATTGTGCTACTAAAATTCGATTTTATCGATAACTAGTGCACATGATCACAAAATTCGCCGAGATTGTTACTTAATTTAATTAACCAGCCCGGAGCTGAAAAGACAAATTAATGTAACACACAATCAAAAGCGTAAGCAAAAACTACACGCAAAAATACTAAGATATGAAACTGATAGTAATTCTTATTACTCGAACGTGGAATCCAATTGTAGGAATCCAACTAGTAGATAACGGGATGAAATTAGTGGAATATACGTGTTATACAAAAGTGAAACGTTATTATTGCTGGAAGAAATGACAACGCTATGCGAAGTCATATATGAGGCAGAAAAGTGAGGAATATAAGGACCAAACGTGGTTCAGTTATCAACAATTAAAGATCATCGGCAAAATTCCGTGCGTTTCGTTTACGAATTAATTAATTGGCGTATTACAATTAAAACTGTTTATCATTATATGGTATACGGTGTAATACGGTCTCTTATCTGAAATAATGAAACTTGGCACTCATTGTCAAAGACTGAAACGATAATATGTTAGAATAACCAGTCGGAAGTCTCGCCAAGACAGAAGATTGAAATATTCGTGAATTCGAATTATGATAATCTGAAATTTGGCGCTTGAGTAACGCTAAAAATCGATTGTCGTAAACTTATTCGACATATTTATTTCAAGAAATTAATTCGCGTGTTAAACAATTTCAAATTATGAATCGGATGACTGGTCATCTGAGGATTGATACGAATTGTTTACCATGATAAGATAAATGAAATTTAAAAGGTGAACCACTGAATCGCTTGATACTGTTTCACGCCTTGTATAGAGATGATTTTGCGGACTTGTTTCCCCGAAATCTATTAAACTCTTGGCATATGAGCGATGAAAGAATTTTCGATATTGATTTTATTGGTATGTGTTAAAAATAACTCTGTCCGCAGATGTAAACAAGTTGAACTTGTTATCTAAAGATAGAGACGAAATTAACACAAATTAATGAGAACAATCATTAGTGAATCATGGCAGCTCATACAGTGGAAATTGGTGAAATGTAACACTGACAAACACTCAAAAGTTATATAAACACCACTTCTCCCCCATCCTCAACCTCATCTTCATCAAAAGATAAACTTGAGCAAGCAACTCAGCAAGCAATAGTTATCTCAGCAATTGATAAAACACCAATCTTAACAGAACACTTAAACCAAATCAACCACTAAACAAAGAATGCAAATCAATGGCAAACGAACAATTCCGACTCACTTCCTTGAGCTCCTTAGCTCAGCGGATTGGCAACTCGAAGCAACCAACCAAATATACACCGCAATCAGAGAGACCCGAGAAGAGACAATCAAATTCTGGGTCTATGTTGGGGACCTCATCGAATACATCAGGCCATACTGGCCAAAGAGAATTACTTATCGGGAATACCGGTACCTCTCAGTCGAAGACTGGCAATATGAATTCGACTCAACCACCAATTTCGTCCAGATTAGGAAAAAAGGGCAAAGAGCCATTGCCCTCTGGATTCCCTATAACGAAATCAAAGGCTGGGGAACACTCCAGGAAGGTCAGGAGTATATCTACCCCCTCCGAGCCACCATCTATAACCAAAAAGTCATCCAAGGCTTCGACGAGTATCAACAATACCAACAAGCCAGAGATGGGAGGATTAACACCACTAATGGCGAAAACATTGAAGAGGAAGGGACAGATTGCTGGCAAGCGATTACCAAGCATCCAGCACGCCACCGATGCAACCCGTGTGACACAAGAAGTTGTTACACCCTCTACAGTGACACAGAACCTGAGTGGCAAGAGGATGACTATTTCGACGAAATCCTCGACTGTCAAACCGAGACAGAAACCACAATCTCGATTACCTCCCTCCTCGAGGACTACTATAGACCAGGGGAAGACAGAACAGGCCCCCAAACCAAAGAAACGCAAGAAGAGGGCCTCCAACTCTACCCCAATACCACCAATGAGCCAAAACAACAACGAAATAGGTGGTACAACCAAAAATCGCCCTATGAAAGGCTTGGAGAGTACATTTACGATGACGAAAACGGGTGGGATTTTAGAACCTATGATCAAAGGCGTAGAGGAACCGAAATCCCTGAAGAGGAAGTCTTCTGGGCTGCTCCAGAAAATAGAAAAGAAGAGGCCGAGAAATACAAAAGGAGACGTCAGTACGAAGCCGAGTGGTACGAGGAACAAAGCAGACAACTCAGGGGATACAGTCCCTTCGAAAATGGGGAGCCCGATTATTACCCCCCATATCTTGATAACCAGCCCTACTCCCCCGAATACTGCCCTAATTCCCCAAGCTATGATGGACCCTCCGGTTACCAAATTACCGGAAACTATGTCCCCGACAATGTTAGGCTCTTTAACAAGCGAGAGCTTACAGCAGAACCCTGGTGGACGTATTGAAGACGAAATAGATTTCGACTCTTGGTGGGATGAGAATTTTCTGACATTAGAAATGCCAGAGACAAGCGAATTATCCACAGTCGAAAAAGCGGTGGAGAAAGGAAATAACGGAGTGGCTACGGAAGAAGAAAAGCCACCGACGGTTGCCGAGACTGTTACGCCGGTCGTAACAACGGAAAATAATATAGTAGAAGGAGAAGAGATTTTAGGTAGTAATAATATAGAATTTGAATTAATTCCCGAAGAGGAATTTAATAATTTTTTAACTAGAGTCAATGAAGCGAAAAATATCGCTGAGACGTTACATATTTATCTTAAAACATACGATATAGGATTCGTATACCTTATAACTAATTCTTCCTATATTAGTATGACAAGTGTAGAGGACTTAGAAAGTAGTCTAGCGCTAGGGGATGAGAGTGCGAAAAGAGAATTGCTGGCACAGTATGAAATACTGATGGATAGAGTCCAGCAAATAAAAAGGATTAGGAGAGAGAGAAATTTTTAGAACCAATTTCTCTAAAAAAAGGGGAAGGTTGTGAACGGCGATTTGATCAAGTGATTTCTGCGGTACTGAGATAGAGTAGTACAGAAAGATGATCAACATCGACT